ATCAAAACTACGACCGTTGTATTTGGCTAAAAAGCAGGGCGATGAGTTGACCCTAATTTGAGTCGTTAAGGTGAGTGTCTATGTCATGGAATGGGATATCAGTTTAAAGGAGTCACGTGTGACATGTAAACAAGTGTGTCAGACGGTTTGAAAACAAGTGCCACGTTGGATTTGAGGTTGGAAGCAACGAGAGAGGATGGCAACTAGGTTGACCTTCATTTCTAATGTGTTAATTTCCATACATTTTGTTGATGGTAACGATCGATCAGCCCAGACCATTTTTAATGAGCTGATATCTAATATAGCTATCGAATTTCTGCAATAAGTCGCAGTTAACGTTGTTGCCGTGTGTTCCCTTGTCGTGTACAGGGCGTGTGCATAATCTCACCGTCATCGGGCAAACATTGCACTGTCCCGAAATCATGATTGTCCCAACCGTATTTACTAACTTGTCGGTGGCTTGACGGAGATCACCGGCATTGGTGACCCACAACAAAATATGATCGAAAAACAAGATAATTGTGAAGGGAAGTTGAAAAAATTAGTTGTCTGTCGCAATGCAGCGAGTCCCGATGAGAATATGAGCTGGAACTTACAAATATATTGTAGTGAACCGCAACTACCGGCAATAATAATCATGGTTCGCGATGTCCTTTCTTTATTTATTTATATATTCCTAACCCCTATTGCCGGCTGACTGTACATATACCACGTAGTGTTTTACGTAGGGTGAGGTCTTTACATGTATATGACAAAAAAACAGTGTCACTGTCAAAACATGAAGTGTTTTGGAAAATTGGGATTTCCAGTGATGGATTCACTGAGTCTGGAAAAGTATGAAGTTCTGTGTTTAATATTTGTTTCACAATATTTTGTCTTTTCATGAAGGTATGAATTGGTGTTACATAGAACAGATGGCAAAACAACACACAGTAAATTACAGTATAATTTCTTCATGTGTTTCTTGTGTCTTTATTTTTTTCATATACCCGGATCTCATAAACCAATTATGTACTGTATCCATCACAAAAGTTGAGTGATTCAATGTAAGCATTATACGTCCATACATCATGGGAAGGGGGACTGCATACTGGGCAATATAGAGATGGAGATCCCTCATTTTACTCATTGACCTGTCCCTACAGTAGTATGCATGTATACATAATATAGAGGACCCCCCTCATTGTTAATTTGATCACTCCCTGTACTAGTATGTGCACTACTGTAAATATCTTTTATTTTAGCTGGAATTAATTTTCGCTGAAAAGTTGTATGTTTTTTATGGAATTTATTTTCACTGATTTTTGACAAATTGAATGTAAAATATAGAAAAAAAGGGAATATTCACTGGAGTTTATTTTCACTAAATCATCTCTTCAGCAAAAATAAATTCCAAGTGATATATAACACATTTTACTGTATGTTGTCATACATCATTATATGGTTTTCCAATTTGAAAAGAATTTCATCTAGACATATGGAAATATATTTTAAGCCAATATGTTGTGCCTAGTATAATTATATTCTTATATATTATATGTACCGGTAGTTGTATTTTGGAAAGTTTCAACATTGAGCTGCATTTGAGTGGTATTTATTGCACTTTGAAATTCACTAGTCTATATTTAAATTGACTTTATTTTTTTCGCTAGACAATGTTTACAATCTGATATTGACCAATGTATTGACAAATTTATTTTATTAGCCATTATATTGTCATTACTAAAAATAAATAATGGCAAATATATTGTCGATATTTAAACTACCGGTATCAAAAGTGGATGATGAGGAAGAGGGTCTATTGCAAGATAATGTGTGAAGCAAAGCCCACACTGTGGGTTACAGTCGCCACTATCAGAATTAAACAAATTTAATTAAATTTGGGGACTTTTTGTTGCTAATAGAGATTTTCATTATTGTGTGATAATGTAAAGCTATGATGTCATAAAAAACCTTTAATTCTTATAATTGTGATTTATAATAAAAATAATAACCAATAAAATTCACCAATACTTTTTCTTGGAATAGCTGTTAAAATTATTATATTTTAAATCTGTAATAATTACATGCCAAGGCTAATACATTATAGATTTGCCTTATGGGAAAATATAATTATGTCTTCTTAAAATATAATTATGTCAGATACATTAGCAATTATTTATAACTTGTGTGAGTTTATTGTTTTGTATTATATGCAAATTAATTCCAGTTGGTGCAAATTCATTGGATTGCATGTCATTAATAATCACCATATGTTGATTACTATTTGCTATTAAGGCATGTCACATGATGTCCTGCACATATGTTACAGTGGATTAAAAAAAAAAATTAAAACTGTTTTGGTAAATAATATGAAGGTGATGTTGATGACTCCTACATGATGCCAAGTGAAGACAGTGGATTGCTGATGTCAGATGCAGAAGGCAAGAATATTTTATACTTATATATACATTGTATACATATATATATTTGCAGGAAGTTTTTCCAGTGATGTTTGGGGAAAAAGTGCCAAGTTTTTGTATATAAAATGCGAGGGAACGAAATAAACTCCAAAGTAAAATGGAGTCGAAATGGATCTGATAATACCAGAATTGATCCATATTTTGATGATCCTGAAGCATCAGTACATTTTATCCAGGATGGGACAGATGAGGACAGTGATGAGGATTGGATTCGTGAGTACATCTGTAATTATTGTTGAATATATTGGGTATGATCGATTTCATATTTACTGTTTCCATGACACTCATCAATTATAAATACTATTGGTGTTTAATCAACACTTAATAACGCCTAAACCTGTAATAATTATTATCATTTTGAAAATAAATCAAATAAGTGTGACTAGAAGAAATTAAACATTGTTTTATAAACAAAATTGTATTTCTTTGGTTTCCAAAACAATGGGAATTCTGCAAAAATATTAAGTCACATAAGGTGATTGGTTGTTCATACGTTATGCCTTGTGACTGCCTTAAAGTGGTTACCATAGGAATGTGGTCTTTATATAGAGGTGGTCACTAACACAGAACATGATTTGTTTAATTGAATATAATTTTGTTTTTCAAAAAATGGAAACAGTTTAACATAGTGTACACATTGACCCGTATGTTAGGCAGAGTAGAATAAATCAATTTTATTGATTCTGTGAAAAAACGTGTCATTTCGTATTTTTTCATTCCATGTATTTTCTGCATGTAAATGTTTTTTTTTGTTATTAACCTTACAAACATGCAACATGTTGCAACTTAACTTCACTGTTAGTTAATCTGCAATAATTCTTTATTGATTTAATATAAATGAAATAGGGATTACATATTAGAACCATGTGTGAGTGACTACAGCGTGAATTGCACTTAGTCCATGACAACATGCTGATTTGCTACATATCGACTACCCATATCTGCTCAACTCAATATTTTTTCTGGTTTTGTTATGGAAAGAATTTGTTATTGTTTATGTGTGAGTTGTTTATATATAATATCATGTGTAGACAACAAATTAAACTGAACAAATATTTTTTATTAGTCCCTGTTTGAACGAAGTTCAAAAACGAGGACTTATAATTTGGTCTGTGTGCGTCGTCCGTACGTCCAGAATCATATTTTAGAATCCTTTGTACTGATTCCATTCATTCTTTGCATGTGCCTAGTACTTTATGTGGGACATGTGCATGCGCAGTGGTTTAGCAATTCGATTCAAAATGGCAGACTGGCAGCCATCTTGTTTTTTGAAAATGTTGTATTTTGGACATGCTTTGTCAGTTTTCATTCAAACTTGGTACATAGATTATACATGTTAGGATACATGTCCTCCAAAGGTCATATTTCAGAATCCCTTGGATCGATTCTTTTCATTCTTTGCACATGGGATACAATACATGGCAATATTCATGAAATTCCAGTAACTAGTTTGAGATGCCTGTTTTTACTATTTGACTATTTTATTGAAGAGAAAACTAGGATTTTGTTGCTTTTTCACTTTATTGTTTATTTATATTCTTGGCAACATTTTTCGAGCCATTTAATCTGCTTTTGTGTAAATCATTTTTCTAAATAATCTGAGAGTCACAATCTTTGCCGTGGGACAGCATTGCCTTGTTCGACTTTGTTACAAGTTTTGTATATCTAAATATTCTGAAAGAGAATGGTATTGACATAAGTCTATACTCAAGCAGTGTGCAACTCAGATACTAATGTGAACTTGGAGACCATGTGGTATATAGCTGCTTCCCATAGGAATACACAGGTTGTTGCCAATGTGTATTTGTGTGTATTCACGTCCACAGGGGTGCTCTGAGAGATTGCTATGCACGATTGAGTGCCACACTTTGTTTTTAAGATTTATTTGGTATAATAATAAAAATGTTTATCCCAAGAGTTGTGACCTTAACATATAGATAGTATTGGCGGTACTTTAATGCTTGGTGATCGGATCAGAACCTCTTGTAAACCTTGACTTCGGCTCAGGTAACAATGAGTTTTCTTGGCATTTGTTTTGTGCCCTAGCATGTTTTAGCACTTCATAATTATTGTTAGATATTAATGTAGTGAATATTTGAATAATAATACATCTAAAGTTATAGTCATACACTTATCAATGCAAATTATTAATAGGTCCATGGAAGCATTTTTGTTATTTTCATGGTATCTTTGTTTATTAAACAAAGAATTAAACTTAGAATTTGAGCAACAAATTAAATTTTCTTTTCCATTATTATTATTATTCAGTCAAACCTGTGTTAGTGACACTTATATAGGCAATCTCAAGGCATAACATATGAACAAACTATATAATGAGATCACCTGTCGTATGTGACCATCTTTTCAGCAATATTTTTGCAGATGCACCTTCATTTAGAACCGAAAATAATGATTATCGATAGCATTCCATTTATAAAACAATAATATTCATTTTCTCAAGTCAAACTTATTTGATTTTGCTTTTGCTCAACTCAAATAAGTTTTGTTTATAATAGTAACATTTCATTAATTTCTGAAAAAATATTATGTCAAATGTATAAGTTAGCAATCCATACAAAAATAATCCAATTTTCATATGCAGATCACCTGTTTATAAAGACCATTTGACTGTATATCATCGCATTAAAACAAATTATGCAGCTTTGAAAAGCATCTAAAACCCAGATCTAAGGAAAATAAAAATGCTTAAAAATCGCTGATATAATTGATGTCATAAATACCTTTAAAAGACATGTCGCAATATCTATATATTAGTTCTTCTGTTTGCTATATTTGCCGGTCAGAATTTGTGATGCTAACACAACAACAATCGCCGCAAAGAGAGCTATTTGCATATGAATAGAATGAACTGCTGGATTATCCAATCATTGGATTAAATGTTAAATAGGGGACTACTCTTGCACTCATTTATACAAACATCTTGGTTGAAGCAGTTATGACTTTTGGTGATTTTCATGAAGTCTGTTCTCACCATTGCCTTGCCCTGAAGTTTGCTAGTAAGGAAGGTATTTTCAGTCAAGATGTGGTGTATCCATGCTGTATTTTCTCTTACTTTGCTTATAAATATGTCTGCAGGATTCACCAATCATGAAAATGACTTCCATCCTCTACAAATATCAGGGCAAGACCATATAGTGGTCCGTGTATTATTGCTGACACTGTCAAGGCAGTTTGGACACTTTGTACATCTTTCATTTTCTAATAAAGGAATTGATGCTCTTTTTTATTTTAATAACCAGTCTGTTTCTATTCTGTTGTACAAATATACAAACAGAACCTCTTCTTATAAACAGGGATTACAGATCTTTATTTTTGACATTTTTTTCAGATATCGATAATTTGGACATATATTTTTTCAAACATTTCTTGTGACTGCTCTACTTCTCTATTTAACTATGCACGAGCTAGCCTCGTTAGTACTGGCCATCTGCCATAAGTTACCTAAGTTCAAAGAATGATTGTTTTCATTTGATGAATATGTCACACAGTGGGCTTAGTGTGAAAAGGTAAAAATTAGACGCCTTGAGTGCGTGAAAAAATGAAGAAAGCTCAGTGTGTTTTTGAATTAATAAACTTGAGACGAGCATCAAAACCAAAAGACCATAGTCTGTATAAAATTGCGGTGTACTTAAGTGTCATTCTCTATGCTGTTGTCTCTTCAGACAAAACTTCCATTAATATATATGCACTGTTTGTTTGTAAGTTATATTATAATAAATACCTCATCAAGGAACTTGGACTTGACTTGAAATAATAAATTATGGTTCTTACATAAAAATATCTTTTAGCCAGAATTTCATTCTAGACTTCTTAATCACAGTAGTCATTCATAACACACATCATAAATCTTGGTCTGAGAGATTTAAAGCTTGGGGACCTTAACACACAGAAAGTAGTTATAGTAACAATTGTTTACTCTAATATATCAGCATTTAGTTGTCAATACGTGTAGTAACATATGGTAGTGACATACCTATAGAATCAATAATCTAATTGTACTGATTGTTCCACTCCATTCATTTTCAAATGCAGCTAACAGTTTTATGTGTGCATTATTTTAAACTCAATAACAAAATATGTCTTTTGCTTTTGTTATTATTTGACTGCACACTGTTTGTTGGGATTATAGGATTTTATATCACAGCTGTTAGGGAAATATTATAATAGTAGTCTCAGCAAATTATTGGTCAAGATACTGATAATATGAACATTTCTAATTAATATGTTTGGTAATATGGATTTGGAATATTCATTAATCATATTCTGTGCATAATGTGCAGCTTTCTTGATTAATATGAATATTTGTATAATACCCAGAATGCAATGTTCAAAATGGCTGTGAATTGATCATTTTTGAATGCATTTTTATTCTCACTGCTACTTTACAGTTTGCTAGCTGCAAACAAATTCAATGTGACCATCACATATGTAGACTTACATGTACAGTACTGGTGTAAAGTGGATTCCATCAAACTTACCTTGTCCAGACACAATGAGGACTTCCATCAACAAAAACAAGTTATTGTGTTTTCTAATTAAATTTCATGTACATACAATAATTTTGACATCTAATCAATTAAGGTGGCCAGTTTCTGACCATTTTTGTTGTAAAAAACACTAAAATGAGGTATTTTGACAAGTCTGAAACCAGATCTCAGACATGGTATATATTGTTGTTGCACATTTTAAATACATTGTCCTATTGTATTTTTAAATGAGATGGAGGTATTCCACGTAAGCCCTGTTCAAAATTTGAATTTGGCACGCACTTTTTTAAGGCAAAGCAATTATGTATATAGTTAATAATACTGATAATTGTTTTGTAAATTTTATTTTATATATAATACTCACTTTATAACAAATAACAGAATTTTATTTGCTTATGAATTTTAACATTAAATATAAAATGAGAACTGTGCATTGTAAATTGTTTGTTACAACATCTGGTACAACTGCTGAGATGTCAGTGGTTTTGTGATGTTTTTATTTTTGTACACAAGGTCTCATTTTATGGATTCGATTAATCTGTGCTGATGCTTTTATTTTGCATATTAAACACCAATATTTCTTCAAATATTTGAATTTGAAACAATTGAAAACACATAATTCAGTGCTGTTAATCTTTTTGAATATTTAATTATGACGTCATTTTTTGTGTGTGTTTACAGGAGCTAAAAAACATCAACGTAAAGAGTCAACCAATTTGGAAAAATGTCTTATTGCGTTGGTGTTCATTTTAATCATAATCATTCTGGTGTTAGCTGCAGTTGGCACGTTTGGATACTACTATACTGTCAATAATCAGGTCAGAAATTATCATAATACTTCTTACACTGACTCATGGTCTTGTTTGTAATTTGGTTATAATAGAGTAATTCTGCTGTTCGTATTACAACCCATTCATGATAACCATGCAAATTAGATCTTGTAATTTCCAAATGTGATCTGACAAGATTTGAACTAAAGTGGCAATAGCTATCAATAACTTTTCTCTGATTTTTCTTTTTAATAAAACATTTTCTGTGTCATTAGTATAAATTTGTAATGACCATCACAGAAATGTGAACACTGAAAGCATAGAATATACGCTATATACAGACATTGTGCATTAAATCACTTGCAAGTGAAAATATGATGGCTGCAGGGTTGCATCTGGGTCTGAAGCAAATCTCAGGACATATGGTTCAAGATGACAACTTACCGGTGACCCTAGACGAAATGTCAAATACATCACGTTTTGAGAGGCTAAGACTGATGATTTGTCACTTTCCATAATAGTGTGTGTTGTTCATGTATAATAATTTTTTATGGTCTCCATCACTTGACCAATTTCATGGAAATGACTAATATTACTTTATATGACATTAAACTTGGGTAGGTAGGGTCACTTTGCCCATGCAAGATTTGGTCATCTTTATAATGGTTATATTTAAACCAAAAAAATGCTATCATTACTTTAACTAGCTGTCCCCATTAGACCATATTTGAATTCACTAGCTGTCATGGTATAGTTATCAACAACCCCAAAATTATCCCTATACAAGTATCACTGGTCACCAGAATCAAACAAGTCTATATATCATAACTGAATAATCAGTTACTGACATCTTATGATTATTCCCGATTACTTCGTAGTAACATTCATATATAACATAATATCTGTATAAGATAACAAATTCCCAATAGAAGTAACACCCATTCTTTTTGAATGTTTGAGAACCCAAAATTCATCATTTCACATATGTGTAGATGCTCAAATACAAGCTGCATTCCCTCTATTGCATTGTACCATTTTACTAGAAAACACGGCTTCTCATACGGATTTTACACAACTACCTATCCCATTAGTAATACACTACCTTTCTGTGCCAACGTTGGCAAAATTTAGACAATAAATATTTGATTGAAATGTTCATATTGTTTGATGTCAAGGTATGTTTGGAACCAGAGTGTATTGAAATCAGTTCTTCAATACTGAGTTATATGGATCTCAACGCAGACCCTTGTGAAGATTTCTACCAGTATTCTTGTGGGAGATTCCTAAAAGAGGTCACCTTACCTGCTGGCACAGCCAAGTGGAGCTCTTTTTCTCGCGTCTATGCTAAAATTCAAGAAATATTGAAAAAGGTAATTTGTGCATACTAATGATCTAATTTACATAATAATTAGCTCATTTTTACTGTATTGACTACACAATGGATTCATTTTTTTGTTAAAAATCTGCATATTAATTACTTTAATTGCATAGTAATTGTCCAGTTTTTAGATTTTCTGTGGTGCATGTGCACTCTTATTTTACCAACATACATTGTACCACTACTGTGCATGAACATGCTTTTGGTTGCCATGGAACCCTCTTCTCCATTGTTTATCCTATCCAGAATATATGATAGCCTACTTTATAATCACATTTGCTCATATTAATTAGATCTAATTCTGACCTGTGTGCATGCACCCATAGTGGTTGTATATATGTGCCCATCCATGCATGGATAACATTTATAAGATGAGGAAATATGCAAGTGTGAGATATGTGATTATTAGAAGTTATAATGCAAGTTTATGAGTATGTGAAAGAACTGATTAATATCCATCTTAGGTTGTTTGGATTGTTTGTAATATGTGCATTTTGTGTTATTGAATGCAACAATATTCTTCTTCATTTCCCTATTGAATACTGCCCATATAGTTATGACAATTTCACACACTTTTGGTTATTTTTTGTCTAATTACAATGATCTGACCTGACAAGAGTAATGGCCCAAGACCGGAGACCTGAGTGGTCTGTCCTGTTTGCTTAGTGTGCTGCCATCACAAAATACAGTATCCCTGAGGAAGGCAATATTTTTTTATTGGTCATGTTTTTTTTTTTCAGCTTCTTGAGAGTGATGACATCACATACCAAGGAGAAGAGAACACGGCTGTAACTAAAGCCAAAAATTATTATTCTGCTTGTATTAATAAGACTGGTGCTGAACTTCGTGGTCCAACACCAATGTTGGAAGTGAGTCGATCATTACAAGGAGATATGTAAATTGTATTAAATAATGTGTATGCAGATTTAATTCATATAAAATGTTAGTTTATATGTAGTGCAGTCTGTTCACACATCTCTAGAAATCATTTGCTGGATTTCAGTGAAACTTAGTACATGTACATATGTTCACTTGCCCCCTGATACTCCCGCTGTACTGTCTTCGTGAATACTTTGAGGTATCCTCGTAATAACCTCATAACCTAGTATTATAGCCAGAGTGAACCTTCTGCAAGCTCCAGTGAGTTAAAGAAATCAACCATAAACTCTTCCACATTTATCTATCAAATTGTTGAGTTGGCCAAGATATCAACAACAATATATTCTATATGGGCTAGAGTGAAAGAAATTTGAAATTTGGTATCTTTTTGAAACTTAGGTCTACATGTCTAAATCAGACAGAGAATGTGAAAGGGGCTTATTAGTCCCCGTTCGGACGAAGTCCGAAAACGGGGACTTATAATTCGGTTTCCGTCCGTCCGTGCATCTGTGCGTCTGTG